CATGAAACTTTCAGAAGTGCTAATTGTGATGACTAACCCTTTGACCAATTTGGAAGACATGGTGGACATGGACTTTTGCTACCTAGCATCCACCTCCTCTCCCTATTTCTTTCAGAACCCAGCATTCTCTGAGCTGCTATGTTCAGGGGGCTGACCTCATCCATACCCTCACACAGACCACTCCCCTGACAGTGACTGGCTTACAGGTGGACATGTTGTCTGGTTCTGGCCAACGAAACTAAGGCAAGTTCTACTGAAAAGGTTCTGGGGACACCAAAGAAGAAATGGCCTGTCCTTCCTTTTGAAGTTTCCATGTTAGGACAGAACCCAAGTAAATTCTGTATGCATCTTGGGACCTTGGACACTGCTAGTCTGGTCCTTGACACATATGCACACACATGGCCACTAACGGACAAAATCCTGAGGTCCACCTCAGCAATGGATTTCTGATAATGTGAGATTAGAAAAGTACTTCTTGTTTAAGGCCATTTGAGTCAGGGTTTTCTGTTACTTTTAGCCAAAGGTTTCTCACCCTTGAAACTATCGACATTTGGGGCTGGATAATTCTTTGTGGTGGGAGGGCTATTGTATGCATTACAGGACATTAGGTGGCAACCCTGACTTCTACCCATTAGATGCCAATAGCACTAACCCCTCCCTCAGCTTTGACACCCCAACATGTCTCTGGACAGATTGCCAAATATTTGGGGTTCAGAGGGGGAAACAATTTGCACCCGATTAAGAGCCACTGTTGCAGATAAAAGCACCCTAATGAATGTTAGGGCCTTCCAATCAGTGGGTCCTCAGGAGGATAAAAGTTGCTACCGCCTATGCTCTAGAGTGTTTCAAGGATCAAAGTGAGATGAGGTGTGTGAGAAAAGCAAATACACACAAGGTGTTGCTAATCATTACCTGTCTTTGATGCTGCTGCTGCATTGATAGCAATGTTGTAGTTTCCATTTATTCTTTTAATGGGCAGAGCTGTTTAACTTAACAGATGGCCAACGTGGATAGTGAATGGAATTTTCCCTGGGCAAAGCTGGTGAACCCCACCAGCACTCTCTGGGGCTCTTCCTCCTGCTTAGAAACTCTGATCTCCTACAGCCTAGCCCTGAGCTGGACCCCCAATCCTGACTAATCACCCAAGGAGGGGATGGGGGATATAGAGCTCACCCTTTAACACATTCGCAGAGATTAAGAGAGATCTTCATATTGAGATGCTAGAGAGATCAATGCCCTCCCCACATAATAGTGTATTCACAACTCACACATCTGTGTATTTGAGGCCCACAAGGTCAGCAGACGCTGGACAACCAGTCTTGGCTCCAGCTTTCCTTCCTCAAAGCTGCCAACACATCAAGGCCTCTGTACTTAGGAGTCCCCTGACTCTTTAAATCAGTGCCTTCAGATTTCTCACTTGGAGAATTTGTGTCCCTCAAGTGTGACAAATGTCCCCTGGAGTAGGAAGGCTTATGTAGGGGAGCTGGATGTTAGGTGTGGAGAATTGGGAGTGTGGGAACAGGCAAGGGGGCCAGTGCTGGAAGCGTTTGAAAACAATGGATGGATTGGTCATTTAGGTCTCAGAGTGCTTACTGTATGCCAGACACTGGGGCTGGGGCTGGGGTGGGCAGCAAAGGGCATTAGGAGGTAGCTGTGGCTCTTGCAATCTACTGGGGACCGTGTGGTGGACACTGGGTTGGTCTCCTGACCTTGTCCTGTATCATGGTAGGGGATGACTACCCCCACTAACATGGCAGCTACCCTGATTTTGTGCCCCACTCCCACCCCTGCAGCCTATGTGCTTTGTAGGTCACTGACTTGCCTTCTGAACCAGAGGAAAGACACACATCAGGTCTTGGCATGTGGGAGTTTGGACTGGAGAAGGCATTCATTGGCAGCTTTGAGGGAAAAACAGTTTTCCTTTGAGGGACGGGGCCGCATTTTGCAAAAGTGATGTTAGGTCCAGCTACAGCCTGATTATTTCCATGAAGGAATCAAGCTGAAGACTGAACTGATATATAAAAGGAGTCTGAGCCAAGAGGCTTGCAAGGAACTCAAGCTGGAGACTTGTGATCCATCTCTGGGGCTTTTGGTGGCATATGTTAATAAAACCTTACTGTGTACACCAGTTTGAACACGATTTTTCTGTGACTTGAATTATAAACTGTCCAAACTGACCCAGAGTTTGGTACCAAGAAAGGGGTGCTACAATAAGCAAACTTCAAATGTGGCTTGGCCAAGAAGATGTGTTCACACAGAGAGCAGCAAAGTGTCTTTACCCGGAACTAGGAAGTTGGTGATCCCGGTTTAGCAAAACGGTTACTTATTCCTGTTTTACTCTGGGATAGAGTCCCTATGTGGAGGGAGATATGACATTTGGAGATCTGGAGGAAAATACTCAGGATGTTGTCTACCTCTGGCAATCTTTGTTAAGGTCCTAAGAGACTCAAATTTAGAAGGAGGTAGCCCATTTGAAAATGGGGAGGGATAAAAACTCATCTTTGCTGAGAGAGGGCCTTTCTGCCTGTGGTCTGCAATCCAAAGTGACTGGACTTTGATGAGCAAAGTCCCGCAGAGTCAACAAAGCTGATGTATAGAACTGGAGTTAGAACGCAGGTAGCAAGTTGGGTGATTTAACAAGAGAAAAGATTGGGGTCCTGGAAAAACAGTGCCCCCAGCTCCCAGGTCTCTATGGAGCATCTGGTCTTAGACACATGCAGCCTCATGACTGGGACAACTCACTGCGGACATGCAGCTAGGATACGGCTGGGGGACAGGAAGCAGTGTTGGGGTACCTTCACGCGAGAGGTAAAGGAAGATACCACAAATCTGAGGAACAGGGCAATGGGCAAGGCAGAGAGCCCAGTTGCCAGTTCAAGGATTCTGACGTGAGACAAAATCCAACTTCAACTACTGGCCCATGGCCTTGAATAGAAGAAACCCAGTAAATTCTTTAGGGTACTGACTTGCCAAAGAAAGTGGCCAACTTATGCCTGAAATTGCCCATTCCTTGGGGGCAATCCCTGAACTTGTACCCACAAGAAGTATGTTATTAAAGCAGTGACACTCCTTGAAAGACATCAACCCTATGCCCACTCAGATTTTAACAAGGCAGTGAATGGGGCAGATACCCAGAATTGGGACCAACCATCTCTGCTGACTGAGGAACTTGCTTTACCATCATGGCAAGGAATCCCCCCAATATTTCCTCAATATTGTATATACTGTAGGCCAATGACTTCTGAATGTGTTTTCCATTGTCCCCTTCTTCAAATGGAGAATTGCCTTTCTTGAAATTTTTATTGCAGATACACTGGGTTTTTTCCCCTAGCACTTACTATATTGATGGTAATGAAGTTCAGAATTCATAGGTTACCATCCCATGAGTTGCTACTTCCAGACATGATGGAGAGTATGATGCATCTTCCAGAAAATACTGAATACAGTAACTAGATGAGTCATAGGGCTTCACCCTTTGAGGCAGAAGGTGAGTCCACATTTGTCAGTATGGGTATTTCTGATGATAATTTAAGGGAATGAGAGTGTACCAATGTTGGGTCACCAAAGGAGTGGACTTTAGTGGGATATTTTGTTTCCTATGTAACACTCATCCCCCCTTCTCTAGGTAATAATCCCAATTTTGTTCGGGTAACTACACTGTATCTCACAACTTGTATGGTTTAGAGAAAGCTAACTCCACTCCAAATCTAGGACCCTGTGCAGACCTTCAAGACTGGATGGGCTTCTCCTTGGAACACTCGTTTTTCTTCTGGGGTGGAACATTGAGTAATGTGAGTCCTGAAGCAGCCCTTTTGCTGCCATGAGGGGAACCAATCAAGACTGAAGCCAACACAAGGAGAAAAAGTTGAAAGAATCAGAGAAAATGGAGCTGTGGCCTTGAGCTCATACCCATCCTTTCCCTTAGGCTTTTGATTTCTGTGATGTCTTCTTTAATATTTGGTTTAGCTTAAGAGATTTCTGTTACTTGCCACCAAACAACCAACTATTACAGAGTGTGATGAAAGTGTTGATGATGGAGAAGGTAGGTTAATTAGCTAAGAGAAGCAATGCTTTGTTTTCTTTCAGACAACCTTATTGAGATATCCTGGACTTACAGAAATTAAGGTGTACAGGGGCATCTGGGTGTCTCAGTCAGTTAAGAGACTGACTCTTGATCTCGTCTCAGGTCATGATTTCACGGTTCATGAGATAGAGCCCCAGGTCAGGCTTTGCGCTGACAGCATGGAGCCTACTTGAGATTCTTTCTGTCCCTCCCTCTCTGCCTCTTCCCCTGCCTGTCCCCCCACCCCCCCACCCCGCCGCCAAATATATACACACATTTTTAAAAAACACTCCAGGAAAAAAATTTTAAGGTGTATAATTTGAATGATATATATACACACATTGTGCAAAGATCACCACAACCAAGCTAAAAAACTTCTCCCTCAGTGTTCCATATAGGTATTCTTTTGTATATGCGCATATGGTGAGATTTAACTTAAGATCTATCCTCTTAGAAATTTTCAAGTATACCATACATTTTTGTTAACCATTATTACTATGCTGTATATTAGCTGCCCAGAATATATTCACTCCACATAACTAAACATTTGCACCTACAACCCCATGTCCCCATTGTCCCAACCACAATTCTAGTCTCAAGAAACAACGTTCCTTTAAGCACTTAGGGTAGGAAGAGGAAGAGAGGAGAACATATCGCAGTTCTTAGTGTTAAACACAGTCTTTTGGTGGAATTTACTGGACTCATTCATGGCCATCATTACACATCTCTCAGCATATCTAGGTGGGAATGAATGTGTTGCGGCCCTCAGTGCAGGGCATGTCCCTGATATCTAAAAGTCCCCAATAACCATTGGGTGCTGGAAGGAAGCCTGCCATCATCTGTTGCCTCCATCCCTTAGCAAGGCAATCCCCCATCGTCCCTCTCACTGTGAGGAGCCAGCCACCTCCTAACCCTGTTCCTCCCACTGCCATTACAGGAGATGGATCACATGTCTCCCAGGCTGAGAGCCTTCCTCTCTGAACCCATCGGAGAAAAGGATGTTGCCTGGGTGGAAGGGATCAGCCGTGAGCTTGCAATCAATTTGGTCACCAAAGGTTTCAACAAGGTAATTCACTTTTTTCATATTTCCCTACCTTCTCTCCCCAATGTCTCTTCCCCTATTCTTGCCAGATGGCAACTGCTGCTCAATGTCCCTGCAAGGGGCCATCAGAGAGCAAAGCTGCCACTTGGCAGGGTGCCCCAGTCTTCAGTGCTGCTGACCCCTCATGCTTGGGCATCCTTGAGGGCCAGTAGATGATGGGCAAATTGAATGACTTTGGCTCAGAGCAGCTGGGCCAGGCATGATTCAGTGGGTGTTCCAACACCCAGAGGTCAACAGAAGTGAACCAGCCACGCGAGCCTGGGGCTGAGCTGTCAGGACAGATGATTTGGATGCACTGTCCACCTCCAAGTAGAGACTCGCGGGGTCTCACTTGTCAGGCACCACCCTGGCAACAGCAGGTGGAGTAACAGCAGACTGGGGTCTACACCAGAGTAAGAGGATATGAGCTGTTCTAAGATGTCACTCACAACCCAAGAATGCCGGCCTCAAGGGCATCCAGTGGAATCCAAACATTCCTTTTCTACATAATGATTTGGTTTTTATGGTGCTGGTAAAACTGCTTGGAACTTTAGAGGAGAATAGGAGATGATTCTGAGAAAACCCAAAGAAAGTGAGCACATGCAGAGGTGAATGGGAATCCACTTAGAACATTGCACACCCTGTGAGGAGATTTCACACACAGTTATTGCTGTTCATTCCCTTCAGTTTTTTAAAATGTTTATTTATTTTTGAGGGAGACCGAGAGAGACAGAGTGTGAATAGGGGAGGGACAGAGAGAGGGAGACACAGAATCCCAACCAGGCTCCAGGCTCTGAGCTGTCAGCACAGAGTCTGACATGGGTCTTGAACTCATGGACCACTAGATCATGACCTGAGCAAAAATCAGATACTTAATCAACTGAGCCACCAGGGCTCCCCCATTCCCTTCAGTTTTTAATGTTAGTCTGCACCACTGCACAAGAAGAATTTACAGCAACACCCAAAGAGGCTGGGAACTGTGGCACACAAAACTGATAATCAGTTTGGTGTGCTGTCAGTATACAGTGCATGGCTGCTCCCAGGGGGGTATCTGAACTCCTGGGCCTGTGGTTTTTCTGATGGTTTTCTGGTTGACACTCTGCCAGCACCAGTTGCTAAATATTCTGAAAATCACCCCAATCTACCAGCCAATTTAACATCCAACAGGTGGTATGTCAGCAAGCTGGAGCTCCACGACTGACGTAGATTTGATTCTTTCCTCCAAGATAAAAGATGGAACCCTTCCCTAGCAGGTAGTAGAGTAAGCAAGTCTGGCTAGGGAAGACATTTTCCATTCAAAATTCCTTTTTAAAAGTAACGATGTCCCCTTTTCTTTTCTATTGTGGTGTGCTTGCATTGATATGAAGGGTTCAGCTCAGTGAATTTTTACATGTATGTATGCTCATGGACCCACCCCCAAGATCCAGTGATTGGACACCTCCAGAATGCCAGATGGTTGCATTGTGTGTCTCCCTGGTCTGTGTCATCCCCCCACTCTCAGAAGTAACCATTATTCTGGTTTCCAAAACCTTTGATTTAATGTTTTTTCTGTTGTTCAGACATACGTAGCATTTAAAAAAATATTTTTATTTGCATATAGCAAACGTCACCTTTTTTAGTACACAATTATGCAAGATTTGACAAACGCATGCAGCCATGAAGCCACTACCACAATCAAGACCTAGAACAATCCTATCATTTCCAGATGTTCCCCTGTGTCCTTCATATCCCCCACCCTCAGCCCCTAGCAACTGCTGAATTATTTTCTCTCCCTCTAGTTTTGCCTTTTCCAGCTTGTTTCCAGCCTAACATGTGTGTGTGTGTGTATATATATATATACATATATATAAAGAGAGAGAGCCATATTTAAGATAAAGGAGTGAATTGGAGTGCCTGGGTGGTGTAGTTGGTTAAGCATCTGACTTCATGATCTCTCACAGTCTGTGAGTTTGAGCCCTGCTCAGGCTCTGTGCTGATAGCTCGGAGCCTGGAGCCTGCATCAGATTCTGTGTCTCCCTCTCTGTCTCTCTGTTCCTCCCCCACTCACTCTCTGTCTCTCAAAAATGAATAAATGTTAAAAATTTTTTTAAAAGATAAAGGAATGAATGAATAATGGGAAAATGTCAGGCATCCCAGAAACTGCTCCACACAGGAAGGGCTGTAGGGAAGAAGGAGCTGTTTGTCTGTGTGTGGCCAGGCCCCTCTTGTGTCCACAACCTCCTGGTGAGCACCAAGACCAGCACACCACTTCCAGGCCCTACTCATTCCTAGGGGCGCTGATTCCAAGCACTGACACAGGGGATTTCACCTTTCTCCTTTGCTTTGAGCCCCTCAATTACCTGCAAATAAGATGAGGGCCACTATGTCCCCTTTACAAAGGAGAAGACAGAAGCTCCAAGGAGTTAGTTCCTTGATCAGGGGCCCGAGTGAGGATGAGAATGACCATGTATCCTCACAAACCAGGCAGGCAGATCAGGGTCGGAGGGGTTACCACATCATGGAGGGGACTTCTGCTGGGATGTGGTGGCTAGACTCCATATCAGGGCTGGAGCCTGGATGGGCCTCTGAAAGGATCCATGAGACACTTTGTAGGTGAACAAGGGCTTCTGAGTGAGGACCGGTCAGCGAGTAGGGCCAGCAATAAGAGTCTCCAGGGTGGGCAGGGAAGGGGTCTCAGATTTAGCAGATAAAAATGCAGGCTCCTATACATTTTTGAAACTTTTATTTTTAGGGCGCTTTTAGGCTTACAGCAAAACTGAGCAGAAGATGCAGAAATTTCCTATGTATCCCCTGCCCCAACACATGTACAGCCTCTCTCCTTAGCCACACTGCCACCAGAGTGGTACATTTGTACCCATTGCAGTAATTACAGTGGCACATCATAATCACCCAGGCTCCATGGTTTACATTAGGGTTCACTTGCAGAGTTTCTATGGGTTTGGACAAATGCATGATGACACATATACCCATCTTTATAGTAGCATGCAGAGATGTTACATCCTCTGAGCTCCTGGAGTTTTATACCCTGCCTGCAGGAGACGAGACCTTACAGAGGGACACCTTTCTGGGCCTTATGCTAACCTTTGTCCTTGCTGGCATCTGCTGGGGTGTATCTGTCCCCTGCCTCCCTCAGCTATGGCATGACTTTTAAATAAAACTATTGATTCCTCTATGGATTCACCGAAGACTCTTCAGGACCTCGACAGTCAAAAATTTGGCTGCACCCTTCCTGGGTTATTTTGTGCCTGCCCTTCCCCCCAGCTTTCGCAGATCTAGATCTCTGAGAATCTAGACCTCTGCTGTCTAATAACGGTGGTCACTGGCCATTTGTACCTTTTGAGCACATGTCTGAATAAAAATGTGCTGTGTATGTAATATACATGAGGTGATTTAAAGATTTAAGATTTTAAAGTACCCCTCCAAATGTCAAGTATCTCATCAATAATTTTTTATTGGTTTCATGTTGAAATAAGATTTTTGAAATAGAAAATAAAGCATGGTACCAGAACTCATTTCACCTGTTTCATCCCCCACCCTTTTCCTGTGGCTACTGGAAAATTAAAAATTATATATATGGCTGGCTCACATTAAATTTCTACTGGACAGGGGCACCTGGGTGGCTCAGTCACTTGAGCATCCCAGTCCGATTCTTGACTTTGGCTCAGGTTATGATTTCATGATTCATGGGTTTGAGCCCCGTGTGAGGCAGAACCTGCGTGGGATTCTCTCTCTCTCTCTGCCCCTCCCCCTCTCAAAATGAATAAATAAACGTTAAAAAAATAAATTTCTACTGAACAGTGTTGGTCTAGATTTAATGGTGGAAGGGCTGCAAAGGACAAAGGAATGACCAAGAAAGGAAAATACGTTGTGCATAAGGTGCTGAAGGCTTTCCACGGCCCAGCTCTAGCTCTGTCTTATATTGCCCACCCTCATCCACTCCATACCCAAGCCAGACTGTCCATGAATCACAAACACATACGGGACCACCCTCCTGCAGGCCTTTCTTGAAATAGACATCCACCCCCTTCAGGACCCCATTCACTATAGACCTTCTCTGGGAAGAAAGCCTTCCTTCTGCCTACCCACCCCAGCCTAACAAGCTTGTGTTTCTAAACACAGAGTATTCAACAGGACCCCTTGCTGTGACATGTGTACTGTTGATTATTTTTTCCACACATGGCCTGAGAACCCATACTCTTTATGCTAGCGAGGCACAGCTTGCCTTTGGGGCTCTCCCATGTCTCCTCTGAAGCACAGGATGGTGCTATGATCTTTGTACCTCCTCCTCTCCCTATGAAAGCCCTGCCCAGGGGCGAGTGAATTTCCAGGCACTCAGTAAATCCAGGGACTTTGAGCAGTGCCCTACGAGGCAGGCGTTTTACTGTAGGGATAACCCTGAAGTCATCCAACAGTGAGGAAGTACATTTCCATCCTAGAGACTCTAGTTTGGATCAATGCTCTTTGAAGACACTATATAAGTCATATCCTTGAGACTAAATCTTCCTCCTGAAAGATACTTGGAAGATCAGGGAGGGGTATGTGTTCTGGGGGACTACCTGCTGCCTAAGGCTCTCCTAATCGCAGAACTTGTGCATACTATTTGCTACATGTCAGGCACTGTCCTCAATGCATGACATATATCTCATTTAATCACCAAAAAGTCCTATAAGGTATACTATTTCACCTCCATTTTACTGATGGGGCAATGGATAGCCACGTGACTGCTCAAAGTCACTTGGGGTGAGAAAGGTGAAATCTGAATCTGGGCAGACAGTCCCCGGGGGGGTGGGGGTTAGTAATGCAAAGGACCCCACTCCCAGACACCTGGGCCCTACAAGGAGTCAGTCATACAAGTCTGGGGTTACCCTGCATAGGGTTGCCAGAAAAAATATAGGGAACCACTCAGTTAAATCTGAATCTCAGTCAAACATACTTTTTTAGTATGATTATATCCCAAAAGAGTGCCTGGGTGGCTTAGTCAGTTAAGCTTCTGACTCTTGGTTTTGGCTCAGGTCACAATCTCATGGTTTCTTGAGCTTGAGCCCCATCTTGGACTTTCTGCTGGCAGTGTGGAGCCTGCTTGGGATTCTCTGTCTCTCTCTGTCTCTGTCTCTCCCTCTTCCCCCTCCCCCAATGCTATCTCTGTCTTTCTTAAAATAAATAAATAAACTTAAAATAAAAAGTATATCCCAGGGAGACATGGAGAAGAAAGAAGAAGGGGCAAGCCCTGCATTGGATCGAGCATTTGCACTGCGGCAAGGAGTTTTAAGCCAGAAATGATTGAGAGGTACTGGATTTTCAAATTTGTCAATGGCTACCAGTGGTCATGAAGGATGAAGAGCCAACATCTGGTTAGAGAAAAAGAGACTTGTTGATCACACAATGAAGTCTTGTGGCTACGTAAGTGCCTTCACTGTAGGCTCCAAGGAATGGCAGCTCCAGGTAGAGGCATCAGACAAGCCTGAGAATCAGAGAGGGCCAAGATGGCAGACCTCTGTTGTCCACCTGAAACTCAGGTGCATCAACTTTACTCAAAAAAAAAAAAGTTAAAAAAAAGGCCAGGTGTTACAGTGAAGATGAAAAGTTTTAATTGACATTTTGCACTAGGACCAGCTATCTAGTGCAAAATGAAGATATGAGGTCCCTCGTTCACATATACTGAGGACTTCAAGATGCAGCTGCAAAACACTAAACCAAGGGGGGCTCTGTCCAGGGTGGTGGGGGCACACTGTCTGCTCAGGGTATCTCTGCATCACCCTCCCCACAGCCAGAAATTTGGCCCTTTGGTCCAAGTAGAGAGGGGTGAGAGATTTTCTTCTCCTTGGTGAAGGGCTCGCTTTCTGAAACCAGCGGAGAAACCAAGCAGGTTTTGGGTAGGGCCGTGATGGGGGCCCACGACTCCAGCTTCCCTTGGGAGCAGGATGATGTGAGCTAACTTTCCCTCCCCACCGCTGGAAGGTGGCAGAGTAAGAGGAAAAGAGACAGGTTGCAACTTGGCTCCAGAAGCCACAAGAAGAGGCCCTTTTTCTACAGCATTCCTGGAAAATGTGCCGCTGGTCCTGCATGCCACACATTCCCTGGCTTCCTCGCTGCTGAGGTTGGCGGGGATGCGGAGGCTCTGATCGCCACCGGCTGATGGCCCAGCAGCAAGGCCTCCAGAAATGGCAGAGGCCACCATAGGTGCCCGGCCAGATGCGGGCGGGCGGGATGAGCCAGAATGGGGCTCGGGAAAACAAGAGTCAACCTCTCAGATTCTTAGTGATTCAACCTGGAGATTGAGACTGGGTTAAAATGTGCCAGGGGACTGGAGCCCATTGAAGGTACTCAAGTGCCACTTGCTATTACCATCATTATTACTCTTATTTATCATCATCACTAATGCTCCCTCTGCTTGGACAGAGCCCCTTGTTCCTTGATCCTATTATTCACCTCTCAACCTCCCACATTCACTGCAGCAACTGGCTCAATGAACATTCAACAAATGTTCATTTTTTAAAATGTTGAATTACAAAAGATCATAAAATCACCAGCAAAAATACAAGGATACTGATAAAATAAAATGAGATCGTTCTAAGCATCCATATAGCTTTTCTAAAAAGATGATGAAGGTAGCAGATTAAAATAACCATGACATCCTGGCTGTTTTTTCAATCTTTTCAACAACTGGACCATGACTCAAAATAAGAAACCCCAAGTTCCAAGGCTTGGGTACATTTTACAACTGGGACTCAGCTTCTATTTAATCTTTAAAAAAAAAAATGTTCCATTTGGTTAGGGTGAAGTTTTTTTGTTTGTTTGTTTTTAATGTAACTGAAAGCAAACAGACACCAGCAGGTTTTCCTGGAGAGGGGCCCAGGATCGCAAGCGTGGACGCTGGTTCCCATTCATTCCAGGCTGGAGAGCCCCCAAACCAGCAGCGAGAGGCGGGTGTTTACATGATGTTAAACCTCCAGGCTTCACCATTTAGTGGCTTAGTCAATCTGCGGCCATGTAGTCTCAGGCACCTCTTTCTCCATGGAGATCTTGGTCCTTGTCAATAATCATGTGATAAAATTGTAAGAGAGAAATGAAAGGCTGTGGGGCAGTAGTTAGAGAATGAGAGAATGCCATAGAGCTATCTGTCCCAGTGTACTTAATGTTAATTTCATGCATTTTTCATGCACACAGACTTCAGAAGGGAAAGGTAGGCAAGGTTTATGGAGTTTTATATGTTCCCTACTCCTCCCACAGGGCCACGTATCCAGGACAAGCAAGGAATTTTCATTTTCCTAATGTTCTCAAGCTGGATCCGCTTAATTCCATTTGCAGGATGGGGTGGGGCATGTTGTGTGCTTTGAGGTGATGCAGAAACTGAGGCCAGAGTTCTTGGGGTCTTCACTACAGGTTAAGTGAATTGCCTGAGGTCACACAGCTGGTTTGCAAGAACAAATTGGTGCTAAGATGCCCCTCGTCTGCCAACCCCATGGGCAGTGATTCTTGATCCAGGGAGATTTTGTCCTCAAAGGAACATGTGGCAATGTCTGGAGATGGTTATGATTGTAACAGTCTGGGTGGATGGGAGAGTGCTACTGGCATCTGGTGGGTAGAGGCTGGGGATGCTGCTAAACTTCCTGCAATGCTCGGGACAGTCCCTGCTCCACCCCAACAGCACAGAATCACCCACAATGTCAATAGTGACGAGAGTTAGACACTCTGCAAGGTCCATAGAGGAAGTGATGGGGTGGGGAGCCTCTCTGACTTCTCCTTGTGTGTGTGTGTGTGTGTGTGTGTGTGTGTGTGTGTGTGTGTGTTTTGAAAAGAAATACTAGGGGTGCCTGGGTGGCACCTGGCTGGTGCCAGTTGGTAAAGCCAGCAACTCTTGATCATGGGGTTGTAAGTGTGAGCCCCATGTTGGGTGTAGAGATTACTTAAGATGGAGAGAGAGAATACTAGATCAGAGGCCAGAAGGGAGCATTAGAAGTATGCTAGGCTCTTGCTACTCAAAATGTTGTCCCTGGACCAGCATCACCTGGAAGCATGTTAGAAATGCAGATTCTCAGGCCATGCTCCAGACTTATTGAGTCAGAACCTCCCTTTTAGCAAGGTCCCAGGTGATCTATGGGCTCATTAAGGTTGAGAAAAACAAGTTCTGGTTCACCCCAGGCTAGACAGCCCGCAACCACATACCGAGAGATGTGCATTTATTTCGAGCTCACATCTCACCAAGGGCCAGTCCCAGAATCCCCATCACCTCGGTCAGGGATTCAGGACCTGCCACCATTCTTCCCCACACCTGACTTGTGCCCCTTCCTTTGATTTTCATGCGAGTTTTGGTGTTGGAGAAGAGCACATCTCGGCCGGTTTATTATAACTTTTCCCGTTTTTCTCCCTGCCTCATTCCCCTTCCCCACAGGCCTACATCCTGTTGGGACAGTTCCTTCTGATGCACAAGAATGAAGCTGAGTTTCAGAAGTGGCTCATTTGTTGTTGCGGCGCCACCGAGTATGAGGCCCAGGAGAGTTCCAACTGTCTGAAGGAGTGGTGTTCCTGCTTCCTATAAACACACACCCCCTTGCTCTGATGCCTGGGTAAACGACACGTTCTGTACTGACACCCAGGCTTGAGGTCATTATTTTTGTTATTTTTTATTTTAGAGAGCACAAGTGGGGAATGGGGGCAGAAGGAGAGGGAGAGAGTCTAAGCAGGCTCCCTGCTCAATGCAGAGCCTGATGCAGGGCTCGATTCCACGACCCTGGGATCATAACCTGAGCCAAAATTAAGAGTTGATGCTCAACCAACTGAGCCACCCAGGTGCCCTATTTTTGTGTTTAACTTTAAGGATACACAGTCATTATATGAAGTAGTACAAGAATATATAAAAGAGAACAAATGAAAGACAAGTGATGCTCAAATTGACCACCTAAAAACAATTATCATTCACCTTACACGAATATCATGCCAATTATTTCAGCATATAGATTATTTTAGAATAGATTATTTTAAGTTTTTAAGCCAGTGTATTGATTATCTATTGCTGCATAGCAAATGAACTCAAAGCATAGCAGCTTAAAACAATTTTATCTCACGCAGTTACTTGTCTGGGTGGTTCTGTCTCTGGGTCTTCCTTGAGGTTGAGAACTGTCAGCTGGACTGCAGTCATCTGAAGGCTTGACTGGGGCTGAAGAACCCACTTCTAAGATGTTGCGCTCATGTGGCTGTCAACTGGAGTCCTCCATTGCTTTTTAAATAGGCCTCTCTATGAGGCTACTCATGGCATGGCATCTAGCTTCCTCCAAAGCAGCTGATCCAAGAGGGAGTCAGAGAGCAAGCAGGAAGTGCAATGCCTTTTATGACCTTGTCTCTGATTCACACTATATTACTTCTGTCTTATTCTATTTTTAGAAGCAACTCATTAAGTCCTTAAGAGAAGAGAATTGAACTTTCTTGAAACAGCCACTAATATGCAGATATATTTTTAAGAGCATCATAGTCCGATTTCTGAGGTATAATTTATATTCAGTAAAACTTGCCCTTTTTTAGGTGTATAGTTCTACAACTTTTGAGAAATGCATTGTCCCAAAACCACCACCAGAATCAAGATGGGGAGCACTTCCATCTCCACAAAGAGTTCCCTAGGGCCTCCCCATAGTCACCCCTGTGCCCCTGCCAACAAATGGTCTGGTTTTTGTCCTTATCATTTTGACATTTACAGAAAGCCAAATAAATGTACTCACACAATATGTACCTTTTGTGTGACTGGCTTCTTTCACTTAGAATAATTCAGTTCAGATGAGCCCATTAAACAGGCTTTTTAAATTCAAGAAAATGTGGGCAGCTGTTATTGGTGCCTGGCCCCATATGCTGTTGGAATTCACTGTTCTAGTACAGTCCAGTAACTTCCCTCACCAAGCACCTGAGTACCCTCTGCCAGAGGGTATCTCTAGATGCAGCAGTAGGATCTGCCCATGCCCAGGGCAGGAAGGAAGTGTCAGGGAGTTAACATCCAGTCATGGGTGGAAGCTGATGGTTAAATGCCTTGGGTTCCCTGCCCTTTGGATGGGATAGCTCTGAGGTGGTATCCCCCAGCTCCCCAGTGGGGTTGGGCCGTTTGCTCACAGTGCCCCCCTGCCCTTTAACACCCATGGCATTTGCTTTCTTTTCTTCCCTAAATTGCTTTCCCACTCTACTTCCAGGGTTTCTTGGGATCATCCCTCATGAAATATCTAAATACTAGTATCAGTCTGCTTCTAGAAGAATCCAGCTTAAGACAAAAGTGTTGGAATTTAATTTTATTTCAACAGAACTAAAAAATGGAACTGAAAGAATTCTTGAACGTCACTGAATTTTTTCTTCATTACTAGACATCATAATTTCTAAATCAATTTCTTCTGAGCATAAGTAATAATATGGGGAAAACAGTAAGGGGGAGGTTAGTATCATTAGGTTTATTTTAAGCTCTGTTTTTCAATATTAGATGGTATGAATTCACATTTAAAAAGGTAATAAAACTAAAGAGATATTAGCACTCTTATTTCTTCCCTATCACTTTTTAAAATGGGTTTTAGTATTATTTTTAACTTGTTAAGGTCTATAGCATTTACATTCTTCCCATAAGCATAATTCCTGCAGTTGCTTAGTCTTAGTTGTATATTTAAGAGGTTATAAATCCTTGTTGGTATAATTATTTTAAAAATTATAACTTTTGGGGCACCTGGTTGGTTCAGTCGGTTAAGCATTTGATTCTTGATCTTGGTTCAGGTCATGATCTCACAGTTAATGAGGTTGATGCCCATGTCAGGCTCTGTGCTGACGGTGCGGAGCCTGCATGGGATTCTCTCTCTCCCTCCCTCTCTGTCCCTTTTCTCCTCGCTCTCTCTCTCTCTCAAAATAAAAATTTTAAAAAACTTTAAAAATCATAACTTGTTTACTCCTGAGTTCTTTGTTCTCATACATCTTTCTGTTGGTTGAATTGGATGATTATATTGGTCAGAATAGACTAGATTATGCTGCTGTAACAAACAATCCCTCAAAGCTCAGTGATATAGCCAACAAATCTTGATTACTCTCTTAGGCTTCATGTCCAGTATATGACATCATGAGAGATCTGTCTGTTATAATCACTGTGAGAATTAGGTAGATGGAGATCCTCTTTCAATACCTGCTTCCAAGGAGTACCACAGCAATGGGTAGGTACCATGGTGGATTACACACTGTATTTTATATCCATTACCCAGTGTGATCTATTCTACTTAGGTTCACATTTCATTCATCAAAGCAAATCACATGGTCATACCTAACTCTGAAGGGTTGGGTCAAGGACTTCTGAACTCAGGAGAAGATTTGGTGACAACACTAATCAAGACCACAGTCATCAGTTGGGTTTAATACTTTTTCTCTGGGTACCTCACAGGTGTTACATTTCATAAATTCATAATATGATTGGGATATTTCCATTGAGGTCTGTTTAACTCTTTCTAGCTCTGCTTCTCTAGCTGTCCCCAAGGAGAGGCCAAGAAGAATTCCAAGTGAGCCACCTGGCTGGCCCAAAGATTTAAACAGCTCCATCTTGGGGTGCATGGGTGGCTCAGTTGGTTAAGCATCTGACTCTTGATTTCAGCTCAGATCATGATCTTGGTTTGTGAGATTGAGCCCCGCATCAGGCTCTATGCTGACATCGTGGAGTCTGCTTGGGATTGTTTCTTTCCCTCACTCTCTTCCCCTCCTACCTTTCTCAACATAAATAAATAGACATTTAAATACATACATACATTACATACATACATATCTTCCTCTCCCAAGATCTCAGGTTCTGACTATCCAGAGCCCTTCCCTTGTTCCCTCCTGCACAGCCCACTGTTGGATTAATTCTCTACTAAAATAGTCATGGGATTTATTTATTTATTTATTTATTTTTAAATAGTTTATAGTCAAGTTGGTTTCCATATAGCACCCAGTGCTATATGTGGCTCATCCCCACAAGTGCCCTCCTCCATGCCCATCACCCCCCTTCCCCTCCCCCCCACACCCATCAGTCCTCAGTTTGTTCTCAACATTCAAGAGTCTCTCGTGGTTTGCCTCCCTCCCTCTCCCCCTCTCTTTCCCCCCTTCTTCTCCCCCACTGTCCTCTGTTAGTTTCCTCCTAATCCTCCTATACGTGCAAACATATGATATTTGTCCTTCTCTGCCTGACTTATTTCGCTCAGCATAACACCCTCAAGGTCCATCCATGTTGCTACACATGGCCAGATTTCATTCTTTCTCATTGCCATGTAGTATTCCATGGTATAAATAAACCACATCTTCTTGATCCATTCGTCTGTTGATGGACACTTAGGCTCTTTCCATGTTTTGGCGAGTGCTGCTATGAACATTGGGGTAAGTCATGGGATTTAGAAGTCACCCATTTTCTAAGACAAGAGCTGGTTGGCTCTAGAGAAAGGAAAATGGGAAGTAGCTTTGTCTTTCTTTCTATTTCCACACACTTCCCATATTGCTGAAATTTGTCCCTTTAATCAGGTGGGGTGGGATCATGTAAGAGGATTAGGGAGCTGAGAAACCTGGAGGATATGGTCTTCCAAGACTAAGCAGGCTCTAAAGAGGGACCCTAGCACAGATACTGAAAATCAGAGTAGTAGTTCTTTGTGTAATGTGACTGGAGGGACACTGAGGATGAACCCTGTTCCCCACAATTTTCTCTACAGACATTCATTCCCTTGTGTTGATTTTAGTCTTTCTCATAGATAAAATTATTGGCTTCAATTATTCATTTCTCCCTGTATTTTCCACCTTTGTCAGGTGATTTTACAGTCCCTCCCACTAGAGGCAAAGTAACTCCCAGACCCTTGACTTAGACTTGGCCATGTGACTTACTCTGGTCAATGGTATGAGTCTGAAATGACAGCATGCCAGTTCTGAGCCTCACTGTGCATTTCCACGTTCTCTCTCATGCTTCTGTCAACACCAAGAGAAGAGCTATCTCCTTGGATAACTGCTGCCTGCATCCTAGAATGAACCCCAGTGAAGCTGATCTGAGCCCAGCTTGCAGCAAGGACCTGAGGTCAGCCAGACCTGCAGCTTGATGCAAAGCTGCCCATCAGAGCCCACCCTGGATCAGCCAACCCTCAACCAACTCAGATGTGTGAGTGAAAATAAATGATTGCTGTTAAAAGTCACTAATGTTTGAGATAGTTTGCTATGCAGCAGTATCTCACTGATACATTCTTTTTAGTCTAACGTCTTTACCCTGCCAAAGGTGCTTTAGATGGAGCAGCAGTCCAGGGTGGGCAAAAGAATATTGCCTCTGAAGGCAGCCAGACATGGGTGTGAATTCCAGCTCTGTCAATCAGCACCTTATCCTGGGTGAGCTACTTAACCCTGCTGAGCCTCAGTTTCTTTATCTGTAAAATAGGGGCAGGAAGGTAATTACCTTGCTTCAAAGGCTGGATTAATTGAAATAGTGTAGGTTAGGTACATAGTTCATAATAGAAGCTCTGTCTCTGTTCTTAGGGCTCTCCTCTGAGTCTGATGATCTGAGTGCTTAGTCATCTTATGATACTTGGGAGATAATTCATAGCTATGAAGAGGGAGTGTCTCCAGCTACCAGCTTATCCAAT